CTGTCTGTGTGTCAACAGACCCTAATCCAGGATCTGGTCCCTGAAATAGTTGGACTGAGTGGATGTGGACTCCTTGTTCTGTCCCCTCCTTTCCTGTTTTTTTCCTTTTTTGCCTCCTTCCCTTGTTGTCTTTCCTTTATTTATTTCCTTTCCTTCCTTGTACCCTAACCTTCTTTTCCCTTTTCTTTCACCTTATCTGTGTCCTTTCCTCCTTTCCTTGTTGTCTCCTCCTCTCTCTTTCCTTCTTCTCGTCTTCTTCTTCTTCTGTCCATCTTCTTCCTCCACTCTTCTTCTCTTCATGTCTCTCCTCTCCTCTAAGTCTCAAACTTCATCATGAATTCAACAGGCGAGCAGGTCCACACACACACACACACACACACACACACACACACACACACACACACACACACACACCATCGCAAACGTGTTCGTTTGTGTGTGTTAGTGTGAATGTTGTACAACCGCAGCAGTCATGAATACCCTCCCAACGTTGTCATAGCAACAGGCGATGGGTTTGTTTGAGTGTGTGTGTGTCTGTGTGTGTGTGTGTGTGTGTGTGTGTGTGTGTGTGTGAGAGAGAGAGAGAGGACACGATTCTTTCAGCCTCTTCATCACACACACAGACACACACACACACACACACACACACACACAGACACACACACACAGACACACACACACAGACACACACACTCTCAGCTGCATCATAAACATCCTCACAGACGCCCCCTGCTGTCCGGCTGTATTTGTATTTGTGTTCTTGAACCTGATTGGTGGAGAAACACAGAGCTGTGATGTCATCAAAAACACTGATGAACGTTCAAGAACAACGTCTCCTCCTCTGACAGTTTGGTGCTTTAGTAGTTTGGTAGTTTATCACTCATGGTACTTTGGTAGAACTCCAGTGTTTATGTTTGCTCGTTGATCACATGACAGCTGGGCGTTTGTTCCTGTAGTTGGTTTGCATCGTAGTTCGGTTATCGTTTTGGTTTGGTAGTTTTGTAGTTTAGAAGTTTAATAATATAGTACTTTTGTTGTGTGGTAGTACAACAAAAGTTGTCAGGTAGTTTGATAGTACTGTAGTATGGTAGTTTAGTCATGTGCTCGGTAGTTAGTTTGTTTGATAGACTTGTTGTCCAGCGGAATTGTAGTTTGTTAGCTAGGAAGTCTGTTAGTTTTGTGGTTTGGTCATTTTATAGGATAGCAGTTTGGTAGTTTGCGTAGTTTTTCAAGGACACTGAATCATGAATGGATGGTTATGTGAACTAGAATCCTTCAGTTCAGGTCAGAGTCCTGCTCACCTGTCAGGTCTGTATCTCTGTAAACACCTGCTCACTATACAGCAGCTACAAGCTAAAGACACAATCAATATGTGGGTCAACTGGGTCACTTCTATCCTCCTCAGTTACAGAGAAACTGTCTGACACCAGATTCACACCAGGTTCACACCAGATTCACAGCAGGTTCCCACCGCGCTCAGTGAGGCTCAGAGTGACGGTTTGAACTCCTCTCGATGCAGAAATTAAAGCAGTTTACAGACACAGAGGAGATGAGCTCAGAGTGAGAAACTGGCCAAGTGAACACATGAGGTTCACCACATGAGGCCGCAGATCGAGCAGAAAAACAGCAGAAACTGAATGTCAGAGCGGTTACACACAGGCCAGTATTAAAGAGCACAGAAGAAGTTCGATCAGGGAACCTTTTAAAGGCACCAGAGGGACTTTATTTCAAACATGTGAACATCTTCATGAAGACAGATCACGGATCTTTACAACATCAGCCTGTTATAAATTCACTGTATTTCAATACTCTTATATGAGAGGATGAATTCTTAGAGCTCTGTGGTTCCTCTTTGTCCAAAAATAAACTCTGACTGTAGATAAAGTGTGCACAGATGTCTTTACCTGAAAACGTGAGAGTTTCTGCGTGAGCTTTATAAGTCTCAACTCAAAATAAACTCTTTAACTAAACTCTACAAATAAACTCTTTAACTAAACTACAAATAAACTCTTTAACTAAACTACAAATAAACTCTTTAACTAAACTCTACATATAAACTCTTTAACTAAACTACAAATAAACTCTTTAACTAAACTCTACAAATAAACTCTTTAACTAAACTCTACAAATAAACTCTTTAACTAAACTACAAATAAACTCTTTAACTAAACTCAAAATAAACTCTTTAACTAAACTACAAATAAACTCTTTAACTAAACTCTACAAATAAACTCTTTAACTAAACTCTACAAATAAACTCTTTAACTAAACTACAAATAAACTCTTTAACTAAACTACAAATAAACTCTAACTAAACTACAAATAAACTCTTTAACTAAACTCTACATATAAACTCTTTAACTAAACTACAAATAAACTCTAACTAAACTACAAATAAACTCTTTAACTAAACTCTACAAATAAACTCTTTAACTAAACTCTACAAATAAACTCTTTAACTAAACTCAAAATAAACTCTTTAACTAAACTCAAAATAAACTTTAACTAAACTCTACAAATAAACTCTTTAACTAAACTCAAAAAAACTCTAACTAAACTACAAATAAGCTCTTTAATTAAACTACAAATAAACTCTTTAAACTACAAATAAACTCTTTAACTAAACTCTACATATAAACTCTTTAACTAAACTCTACAAATAAACTCTTTAACTAAACTCTACAAATAAACTCTTCAACTAAACTCTACAAATAAACTCTTTAACTAAACTCAAAATAAACTCTTTAACTAAACTCAAAATAAACTTTAACTAAACTCTACAAATAAACTCTTTAACTAAACTCAAAAAAACTCTTTAACTAAACTCTACAAATAAACTCTTTAACTAAACTACAAATAAACTCTTTAACTAAACTACAAATAAACTCTTTAACTAAACTCTACAAATAAACTCTTTAACTAAACTCTACATATAAACTCTTTAACTAAACTCTACAAAAAAACTCTTCAACTAAACTCTACAAATAAACTCTTTAACTAAACTACAAATAAACTCTTTAACTAAACTCTACAAATAAACTCTTTAACTAAACTACAAATAAACTCTTTAACTAAACTCAAAATAAACTCTTTAACTAAACTCTACAAATAAACTCTTCAACTAAACTCTACAAATAAACTCTTTAACTAAACTACAAATAAACTCTTTAACTAAATTACAAATAAACTCTTTAACTAAACTACAAATAAACTCTTTAACTAAACTCTACAAATAAACTCTTCAACTAAACTCTACAAATAAACTCTTCAACTAAACTCTACAAATAAACTCTTTAACTAAACTCTACAAATAAACTCTTTAACTAAACTCTACAAATAAACTCTTTAACTAAACTCTACAAATAAACTCTTCAACTAAACTCTACAAATAAACTCTTTAACTAAACTCTACAAATAAACTCTTTAACTAAACTCTACAAATAAACTCTTCAACTAAACTCTACAAATAAACTCTTTAACTAAACTCTACAAATAAACTCTTCAACTAAACTCTACAAATAAACTCTTTAACTAAACTCTACAAATAAACTCTTTAACTAAACTCTACAAATAAACTCTTTAACTAAACTCTACAAATAAACTCTTTAACTAAACTCTACAAATAAACTCTTCAACTAAACTCTACAAATAAACTCTTTAACTAAACTCAAAATAAACTCTTTAACTAAACTCTACATATAAACTCTCAAAGTGAGAACGTGGAGCTGATTCTCTCCTCTTCTCTTCTTCTCCTCAGTCTGTAACTTCATGTGTCATGAAAAATGTCTGAAGACTCTTCGTTCGGTTTGTTCCTCTTTGGCTCCGTCTCTGGTTCAGGTGAGTTCTGGTTCTGGTTCTGGTTCAGGTGAGTTCTGGTTCAGGTGAGTATCAGAACTTTTAAACTTTGATCACGTTCAGTTTGATTGATCTTGTCGGAGCCGATCACAGAGGCTGATCATCTGCATAGACTGATAATTGATTGGGTGATTTCTCAGTAAAGATAACTCCGCCTCCTGGCCGTCGTTTCTGTGGTCATTATCTTGTCGTTAAGACGTTGAAATTGACGAGTAATGATAAACTTACAGTTAATAAACACATTTTTGCTGATTTTTAAATTCAGATTTACTCAGAAGGAGGAACCGGAGCTCTTTTCTGCAGACAGACCTGCTGAAGTTCGGCCTAAAAACGTGTTTTTAAACACGGCGGCGGCGGCCATGTTCTGGTTACTTGTTGTTTTGATGTTGTGCTGTTGCTGCCCCCTGCAGGTTCCAGTGGCTCACTGCTTTGGTCCGGCGGGTCATAAGAAACGTTTCTGCAGCATCTGCAGGAGACAGACGGAGGGAAACACGGCGCTACGCTGCGAAGGTTCGACCAGATTAACCATGACCAGTTTAACCAGTTTAACCAGTAACACAGGAAACCGTCTCTGCAGTCACACTCCCAGTTCAGATGTGGCTGCACTCCTATTATCATCTTTACGGTTTAGAGAATCTGAGTACAGCTGCTCAGCTCAGTGCGTCAGACAACCTTTGACCTCACACATGGATTATCTAATAAACTCTGTGTGTGTGTGTGTGTGCACGTGTGTGTGTGTGTGTGTGTGTGTGTGTGTTTCAGTGTGCGAGCTGCATGTCCACGCTGACTGTGCGTCCTTCACCTGTGCAGACTGTCGCAGCTGTCACCTGGACGCCACCCTGCAGCAGGTGAGTGACAGTCAGAGGGGTTACCGTAAATACTCTAATATCAGTGTTACTGTAAATACTCTAATATCAGTGTTACTGTAACTACTCTAATATCAGTGTTACCGTAAATACTCTAATATCATTTTTACTGTAACTACTCTAATATCAGTGTTACTGTAAATACTCTAATATCAGTGTTACCGTAAATACTCTAATATCAGTGTTACCGTAAATACTCTAATATCAGTGTTACCGTAAATACTCTAATATCAGTGTTACCGTAAATACTCTAATATCAGTGTTACCGTAAATACTCTAATATCAGTGTTACCGTAAATACTCTAATATCAGTGTTACCGTAAATACTCTAATATCAGTGTTACCGTAAATACTCTAATATCAGTGTTACCGTAAATACTCTAATATCAGTGTTACCGTAAATACTCTAATATCAGTGTTACTGTGTTAATCTGACCCTCTGACTCACTGCTGCTGGACACACTGCAGGTTTAATAATTAATGATTATAGATCTTTGTGTTATTGATCAGTGTTTTATTGATCAGTGTGTTATTGATCAGTATGTCATTGATTAGTGTGTTATTGATAAGTGTGTTATTGATCCACTTGATATTGATAAGTGTGTTATTGATCAGTCTCCGGAGTCTCCCTGTCAGACACACTGAGCAGTGAATGAAGACGTCTGATTGGTCAGGGCTGACCTGTGGATCTACTTTTCGTCTCTGCAGGACACGTTCCACCATCACTGGAGAGAGGGAAACCTGCCGTCAGCCGCCAGGTGTGAGGTGTGTCGGCGCTCCTGCGGGTCGTCTGACGTCATGGCGGGGATGAGGTGTGAGTGGTGTGGCATCACGGTGAGAAACCTAGACCTCATTTTACAGATGTGGAAAAACACCCTGTCCTCATCTACAGATGACAGATTAAATAATCCCAGATTATAATCCCAGTTTGAGATTATCTACTCAAATAGATTACAGAAAGATGTAGGGGATTAAAATATCTACTCAAACTTTTACCATCAAAGATTCCTCCTCTGACGACATGACCAACAGAAGTAACAGACAGAGATTAGAGACAGATCACAGACAGAGATTAGAGACAGATTACAGACAGAGATCACAGATTACAGACAGTGAATACAGACAGATCACAGACAGATTACAGACAGATTAAAGACAGATAATAAAGTCCAGGATTATCTGTAATCAATGATGTCTGGGATTAAATTACAGACAGAGAAATTACAGATAGATTGCAGACAGAGATAACAGACACAGATTTCAGACAGAGATCACGGACAGACAAAGATTACAGACAGAGATAACAGACAGATTATAGACAGATATTACAGACAAAGATTACAGGCAGATAACAAACAGATTACAGACATAGGGATAACAGAGATATTACAGATTACAGACAGAGATTACAGATAACAGACAGAGATTTCAGATTACAGACAGATTACAGACAAAGAGTACAGATTACAGACAGAGATTACATACATATTAAAGAAAGAGATTACAGATTACAGACAGAGAGATTAAAGACAGATAACAGACAGAGATTACAGACAGACAGATTACAAACAGAGATTACAGACAGACAGATTACAGACAGTTAACAGACAGATATTACAGAAAGATTACAGACAGAGATTACAGACAGCGATTACAGACAGATAACAGACAGAGATTACAGACAGACAGATTACAGACAGAGATTACAGACAGACAGATTAAGGACAGATAACAGACAGATATTACAGAAAGATTACAGACAGAGATTACAGACAGAGATTACAGACAGAGATTACAGACAGATAACAGACAGAGATTACAGACAGACAGATTACAGACAGAGATTACAGACAGACAGATTAAGGACAGATAACAGACAGATATTACAGAAAGATTACAGACAGAGATTACAGACAGAGATTACAGACAGAGATTACAGACAGATTACAGACAGAGATTACAGACAGACAGATTACAGACAGAGATTACAGACAGGTTACAGACAGATTACAGACAGATAACAGACAGATTACAGACAGAGATTACAAACAGACAGATTTCAGACAGATTACAGACAGAGATTACAGACAGATTACAGAAAGATTACAGACAGATATTACAAACAGAGATTACAGACAGATTACAGACAGATATTACAGACAGATTAGTTTTTTGGGGTGTTGATAAAATCCCATAAAGAGGAGAACATCATCATCATTTTCATCTGTGATCAGGTCTGTAACCATTGATCACTGATCAGTTTTAATCTGATCATGTTTGCTTCTCTTCAGAGTCACGCAGCGTGTTTCCTCAGCGTGCGAACAGAGTGCACTCTGGGACGGCTGCGCTGCATGTTGTTGCATCCGACCTGCATCCGCCTCAACACGAGGAACTTCAGCAAGATGCACTGTTACCGGATTACAGAGAGCTGCAGCCACGAGCTCGGTATACACACACACACACACACTCACCATCACACACACACACTCACCATTACACACTCACCATCACACACTCACACACACACACTCACCATCACACACACACACACACACACACCATTACACACTCACCATCACACACACACACACACACACACACACACACACACTCACCATCACACACACACACACACACACACCATTACACACACACACACACAGCCTGAAAATCGAAGAATGTTGACCTCAGTGTGTGCGTGCATGTGCGTGTGCGTGTGCGTGTGCGTGTGTGTGTGTGTGTGTGTGTGTGTGTGTGTGAAGTTAAAGAAGTGTCGTGTCTCTTTACTGTTTCGACTTTAAACTCTCGTTTGACATGATCAGTCGTCTCGTTTCCACGGTTTCATTGGCCAATGACTGCGATCACTTCCTGTTTGTCCCCCCCCCCCCAACTGTTGGTATGTTCGTAGATTTCTTGGACGTTGATGTCGATCCGTCTGCTGCGTCCAAAGATGGTCATCCAGCTGCTGCAGAGTCCGGTCAGTCCACGCCTCCACCCTTTTCCGCCTCGTTTCTGTCTGATCATGTCTACAGACTCAAGATGGCGCTCAGAAATATCGAACAGGCAGAGACCTCAGCGGCGGCGGCGGCGGCAGCATCAGAGCTGATGGTTTAAGTGTCTGTGAGCAGATGAACATGGTGGCTCTTTCACTCTTTCCTGTCTTCGACCCTCAGGTAAGCAGTTCCTGAAGGTGTTTGACGGCGATGATGCGGTGAAGCGTGGCTGTTTCCGATTGGTCTCCATCCTGCGAGCCACGAAGAATGAGGAAGTGGTGGTAAGAACTCCGCCCCCTGCTGTTAACTTGATGCAATCTGCACAAACAGCAAACCTGAACTGGACAGAAATGCACAAAAAAATCTATAAACGCCATAAACGCCATAAACGCCGATCGCAATAAACAGTCAGTAGATTTCAAAATAAAAGATTTAATCAAATAAACGCAGGTTATTGTAAATCTGTGACTGCTTTTTCAAAATAAAAGCAGGTTATTATAAATCTGTGACTGCTTTTTCAAAATAAAAGCAGGTTATTATAAATCTGTGACTGCTTTTTCAAAATAAAAGCAGGTTATTGTAAATCTGTGAATGCTTTTTCAAAATAAAAGCAGGTTATATGTGACTGCTTTTTCAAAATAAAAGCAGGTCTTTTTTTTTTACTTCAACAATATTTTTATTAGTTTTGTACAGATATACACAGGAGACACATTACTAACTCCCCCTTTCCCTCAAAACTCCGTCTACAGCTGGATATTTCTTTTACTTTGTTTAAATAATAAATTGTGGAGCTTTAACAAAAAATAGAACAATAAATAAATGAATAAGTTCAAAAATCAAAAACAGATAAAAAATAAAAATACAAGCAAATGCTGGAAACCGGGTTTTAAAGATCTTGAAATACATAAGATGTTGAAGAATAAAAAGTTAAAAGAGAATAAGTTGAATAAACTACTGTGCGTTAAGGGAAATACAAATGTAGACGAGTCACTGGAAACTGAAAAGGTCCATAAAAGAAGTAAGAATTTGAGTTGTATGATTATAAAACATCACAGAAATATATTTAAAAAAGAAAACATCGAGAAGAGCAGGTCATTTTGAGTCTTTTAAATGTAACTCCAGTAAAGCTGCGTCTAAAAATGCGTGTCTTATTTTGGCGGGATCTCAGACGCCATCCTTCACTCACTGTAGTACCGGTGTCGTCCTGCAGGAGGCAGCGCTCAGGATGTTCTTCCTTCCTGATGAGCCTCATGACTTTGAGCTTCATGAAATCGGCGGGATGCAGCGTCTCCATAGCGATGACATCCTGAACCGTAACGGTGGTCCGGACAACAGGGGGTCCCTGAAAGACGCCGGGGACAGCTGGCTGCTGAGGGCCAAAGCCAGAGACGCCGAGGTCATCCAGGTGCATGCTGGGTGGCCCAGGTGAGACAGATCTGACAGGTATGAGGAAGTCAATCCTGAACCTGTAACGCCGTGGTCATTCTCTTCCTGCTTTGTTTCAGGTCAGGTCCAGCGTCTGTCTCCGTCTCCGTCTCTCAGAGCAGCACAGCGGCCTCAGTCCTCAATGAGGTCCTCAGTCAGCTCCACAGACAGGTGAGTGAAAATGATTCAGAACTTTCCCTCCGAGAGGAAACAGGTTAGAAACAGGTCATGTTGGTACCTGTTGGTGTCTGAGAGCAAGATCTTCGATTTTAATCATGTGAACGGAAACTCCAGGTGAGCAGGAGGGGCGGGGCTTAAGAGTCAAAAAGCTCCGAGAGTGACAGATGTTCACCTGTAGCTGCTGTCAATCACAGCTGCTCAGAGTCTGAGTTATTGGTTAAGAGACAAACAGCTGATTGAGACGATGAGTGTTTCATCAAAATAACATCAAAGTATAAAAATAAGATCAAATGAATAAATCATCAGATCAAAGTAACTTCAGAATATCATTAAACCTCCACGTCCATCAGGTAACGAGGTCTTTCTAAAGGTAACGCAGTTTTATTCTGAAGGGCTCGTCTGGTCGCTCCGGGTTCCTGCTTCAGCTGATCTTTAATATTCGCTGTTTTAGGGAGACGAGTCGTCAAAGTTCAGCCTGATGGAGGTCAACATGAGCAGCAAACAAGGTGAGTTCAAGGACACGACGGAGAGACAGAGACGGGGACAGAACCAGAGACAGGGACAGAACCAGAGACAGGGACAGAACCAGAGACAGAGACAGAACCAGAGACAGGGACAGAACCGAAGACAGAACCAAAGACAGGGACAGAACCAAAGACAGAACCAAAGACAGAACCAGAGACGGGGACAGAACCAGAGACAGAACCAGAGACAGAACCAAAGACAGGGACAGAACCAGAGACAGAACCAGGGACAGAGCCAGAGACAGGGACAGAACCAGAGACAGAACCAGAGACGGGGACAGAACCAGAGACAGAGACGGGGACAGAACCAGAGACAGGGACAGAACCAGAGACAGAACCAGAGACAGAACCAGAGACAGGGACAGAACCAGAGACAGAGACAGAACCAGAGACAGGGACAGGGACAGAACCAGAGACAGAACCAAAGACAGGGACAGAACCAGAGACAGAGACAGGGACAGAACCAATGACAGGGACAGAACCAGAACCAGAGACAGAACCAGGGACAGAACCAGAGACAGAACCAAAGACAGAACCAGAGACAGGGACAGAACCAGAGACAGAACCAAATAACAGAGAACCAAAGACAGGGACAGAACCAAAGACAGAGACAGAACCAGAGACAGAACCAGAGACAGGGACAGAACCAGAGACAGAACCAGAGACAGAACCAGAGACAGGGACAGAACCAGAGACAGAACCAAATAACAGAGAACCAAAGACAGGGACAGAACCAGAGACAGAGACAGAACCAGAGACAGAACCAGAGACAGGGACAGAACCAGAGACAGAACCAGAGACAGAACCAGAGACAGGGACAGAACCAGAGACAGAACCAAATAACAGAGAACCAAAGACAGGGACAGAACCAGAGACAGAGACAGAACCAGAGACAGAACCAGAGACAGGGACAGAACCAGAGACAGAACCAGAGACAGGGACAGAACCAGAGACAGAACCAGAGACAGGGACAGAACCAGAGACAGAACCAAAGAGAGAACCAAAGACAGAGACAGAACCAAAGACAGAACCAAAGTAACAGAGAACCAAAGACAGGGACAGAACCAGAGACAGGGACAGAACCAGAGACAGAGACAGAACCAAAGTAACAGAGAACCAAAGACAGAGACAGAACCAGAGACAGGGACAGAACCAGAGACAGAACCAAAGACAGGGACAGAACCAGAGACAGGGACAGAACCAAAGACAGGGACAGAACCAGAGACAGAACCAAAGACAGACAGAACCAGAGACAGGGACAGAACCAGAGACAGAACCAGGGACAGAACCAGAGACAGAGACAGAGACAGGGACAGAGACAGAACCAGAGACAGAACCAGAGACAGAACCAGAGACAGAGACAGGGACAGAACCAAAAACAGGGACAGAACCAGAGACAGAGACAGAACCAAAGACAGGGACAGAACCAGAGACAGAGACAGAGACAGGGACAGAACCAAAAACAGGGACAGAACCAAAGACAGAGACAGAACCAAAGACAGGGACAGAACCAGAGACAGAACCAAAGACAGAGACAGAACCAGAGACAGGGACAGAACCAGAGACAGAACCAAAGTCCGGTTCACCTTGATGAACCCCAGTTCCTGTCGTTGGTATCGATGTTCACAGTGAAATGTCCTCTCTGTGTCTGCAGTCCAGAGATCGTCTCTCAGTCCTCAGGAGAACATGCTTGAGAAGCTGCAGGAGATCAAGAAGGTAGGAACTATAGAAATATATCACCTAGATCAACAAGACTACAGAATCATAGAACTACAATGCTTAGAATTACTATGAAAATATCAAATCTAGAAATCTAGAAATCTATGAAAGTCCTCAGAGTTCCCGTTTATTGTTTTAGTGTTTGGAGTTTGTCTCTGTGTGATTTTATCGTTGGAGTCCTTTCGTGATTATTATCGTCTTTAATTTCGGACCTTCATCGATCTTTGTCAGGTGTCTTTGCGTCAGATGAACCAGACTCGGTTCTATGTGGTGGAGAACGTGAATCGGACAGTGAAGGTGGGCCTGCTGATCGGAGGACTGCCCCCCCTGCTGGCCAAAGAGGAGTACGTCCAGCTGATCCAGGAACACCTGACCATCAAGAGTGAGTCACCTGAGACAGTTTTACCTGCTGGTCGTTCCCTCAGATCTTCTGCAGATGTTTGAGGAACATGAGAGCTGTCTTCACTCATCTGGGTCTGTCTGTCTGTCTCTACAGGTCATCTAGTCTCCATAAGCCACATCTATGCCAGTCAAGGTGAGATGGTTTCCATGGAAACAACACTGCTGGTGAAATTTTAATGATGTGTGGGGTCAAAGGTCAGGTTGTGATGAACCAAACTGAAAATATAAAAACGAGAAACACTGAGATCTTCAACAACACGTGACTGTCTGTGTGTCTGTGTTTGTGTCTGTGTGTCTGTGTCTGTCTGTGTCTGTCTGTGTGTGTGTCTGTGTGTCTGTGTCTGTCTGTTTGTGTGTCTGTGTCTGTCTGTTTGTGTGTATGTGTCTGTCTGTCTGTGTGTCTGTGTGTGTCTGTGTCTCTGTGTGTCTGTGTGTCTGTGTCTGTCTGTCTGTGTGTCTGTGTCTGTCTGTCTGTGTGTCTGTGTCTGTGTGTCTGTGTCTGTGTGTCTGTGTCTGTCTGTGTGTCTGTGTGTCTGTGTGTCTGTGTGTCTGTGTCTGTGTCTGTCTGTCTGTGTGTGTGTCTGTGTCTGTCTGTGTGTTTGTGTCTGTGCGTGTCTGTCTGTGTGTCTGTGTCTGTCTGTGTCTGTGTGTCTGTGTCTGTCTGTCTGTGTGTCTGTGTCTGTCTGTGTGTCTGTGCGTGTCTGTCTGTGTGTCTGTGTCTCTGTGTGTCTGTGTCTCTGTGTGTGTCTGTGTGTCTGTGTCTGTCTGTGTGTGTGTGTGTCTGTGTGTGTGTCTGTGTCTGTGTGTCTGTGTCTGTGTCTGTGTCTGTCTGTGTGTCTGTGTGTGTGTCTGTGTCTGTGTGTCTGTGTCTGTGTCTGTCTGTGTGTCTGTGTGTGTGTCTGTGTCTCTGTGTGTCTGTGTCTGTCTGTGTGTCTGTGTGTGTGTCTGTGTCTCTGTGTGTCTGTGTCTGTCTGTGTCTCTATGTGTCTGTGTCTGTGTGTGTGTCTGTGTGTCTGTGTCTGTCTGGGTCTGTCTGTGTGTCTGTGTCTGTGTCTCTATGTGTCTGTGTCTGTGTGTCTGGGTCTGTCTGTGTGTCTGTGTGTCTTTGTCTGTGTGTGTCTGTCTGTGTGTGTCTGTGTCTGTCTCTGTGTCTGTCTGTCTGTGTGTCTGTGTCTGTCTGTCTGTGTGTCTGTGTCTGTCTGTCTGTGTGTCTGTGTCTGTCTGTGTGTGTGTCTGTGTGTCTGGGTCTGTCTGTGTGTCTTTGTCTGTGTGTGTCTGTCTGTGTGTGTCCAGGTGCGGTGGCGCTGCAGGTGTCGTGTTTTTCGGAGGCGGAGAGGATCTTCATGTTGGCTAAAGACACGGCGGTCGACAATAAGCTGCTGTCTTCACTCGTGATCCCAGAGATCCTGGTGAGAGTTCAGTCTGAGGATATTAGAACTGTTATTATTATTATTATTATTATTATTATTGTTGTTATTATTATTATTATAACTATAATTGTTATTATTATCATTATTGTTGTTGTTGTTGTTATTATTATTATAATAATAATTATTATTATTATTATAATTGTTGTTATTATTATTGTTACTATTATTATTATTATCATTATTATTATTATTATTGTTATTATTGTTGTTGTTGTTATTGCTGTTGTTAGCAGCTTCAGGAGGGAGGCCCAGAGGGCCCCCACCAGCTCCTCCACATGGGGGGTCCCAGGAGTGTCCGAGGTCCTTACCCTATCTCTAAGGCTGAGCCCGGACACCCTGTCAAGGAAACCCATTTCAGCCGTTCAAGATCAAGTCCCAAACCTGCTTTAATGACGGTCTGTCCCCGTCTGTCCCCGTCTTTGTCTTTTTCAGCACACTCAGCTGTCCCAGGACGTCTGTCCTCTGCTGGTCTTTGTCAATCCAAAGAGCGGAGGACTGAAGGGCAGAGAGCTCCTCTACAACTTCAGGAAGATCCTCAACCCTCACCAGGTCTTTGACATGTCCAACGGAGGACCACTGGCTGGGTGAGAGACAAAGAGACAGAAGGAGAGAGAGAGAGAGAGGACAGAGAGAGAGGACAGAGAGAGAGAGAGGTTGAGAGAGAGAGAGAGAGAGAGAGAGAGAGAGAGAGAGAGAGAGGACCGTGGACCTGACTGAGTCTCTGTCCTTCCAGGCTGCACACCTTCAGGGACGTCCCCAGGTTCCGAGTCCTGGTCTGTGGGGGAGACGGGACCGTGGGATGGGTCCTGGGAGTCCTGGAGGCGGTCCGACACAAACTGGTCTGTCGAGAACCGCCGATCGGGATCGTCCCGCTGGGAACAGGTGAGAGAGAGTGTGTGTGTGTGTGTGTGTGTGTGTGTGTGTGTGTGTGTGTGTGTGTGTGTGTGCACTCAGGTCTAAAGTCTCTCTGGTTGCCTAGGTAACGATCTGGCCCGGGTCTTCCGCTGGGGGCCCGGTTACAGCGGCGAGGACCCCCATCACATCCTGGTCTCTGTGGACGAGGCGGACGAGGTTCTGATGGACAGATGGACCATCCTGCTGGACGCACAAGACGTCTCAGAAGACGGGAAGGACAACGAGTTCCTGGAGCCGCCAAAGGTGAGGACGTGGAGGACGTGGAGGACCAGGGGAACCAGGAGAACCAGGAGAACCTGGAGAACCTGGAGAACCTGGAGAACCTGGAGAACCTGTGGTACCAGGGGAACCAGGAGGACCGAGCTGAGTTTATCAGAATAAAAACACTTATTAACCCTTTAATGCCTTTTGTATCATATTAGATACTTTTATAAACTTCTATCAAATCAATATGATCAATAAATCACTAAAGTAACAGCTGAATAGAGTCTGGTCAATAATAAAATGTCCTCTTGTAGGTTATCAGTTTATAAAAATATCTCAAAGATGATCAATAAAAATATATTTGTTTGATTTTAAGGACATTTTGATTTTTTCAGTCGTCAAACTTTTCAGCTCAAAAAAATCTGAATTTTCTGCCATAATTTGTGTTTTAAGGCATTAAAGTGAAAAAAAACAATGAAAACAGTTTCATGTGAAAAAAATAACAAACAGAATTTTTCTGAAAACATTTCAAACAGCTGATTTTAAACAGAAACCAAATTAATTAAATCGAATTATAAAAGTTTGATTATCTGATGAGTTTGAACCCAGAATGATAAAAAAGGGAGGGAGGGGTCAGAGGTCAGAGGTGCGAGAGCTGTAAGACCATCCAGGGGAGCGTGAAGAACTGAGGGGGCGGGGTTAAAGGAGAAGAGGCGGGTCAGTAAACACCAGGAGAACCACAAAAGAGCAGGTGGGAGGAGTCAGGCTCACAACCACGACAACGAAGTGTGTGATCGCCACAACAGGTCATTCAGACAACAGAGTGACGACAACAAACACACAAACACAAACCAACAAACAAACACACAAACCAAAAAACACAAACAAACACAAACATGAACAAACAAACAGACAAACACACATGCAAACAAACACACATGCAAACAAACACACAAACACACAAACACACATGCAAACAAACACACAAACACACAAACAAACAAACACAAACACACACACACACAAATGCAAACACACAAACACACATGCAAACAAACAAACACACACACACACACAGACACACACACAAACACACAAACGCACAAACGAGGATCGGTATTATCCGAAAAAACCTCCGAAAAAAGGAACCAAAGAAGGTGGAACCAACAGAACCCAGACCTGGTTCTGACTCTGAAGGTCTTGCTGGTGGTCTCCACGTCTCCATGAGAACTTCCCTGAATACTCGACGTTCTGCAGTAGATCCTGAGGGGTCTCACCTGTACTCACATTCACCTGTGTGTCTCCCTCAGATCGTTCAGATGAACAACTACTTTGGTCTGGGCATCGACGCGGAGCTCAGTCTGGACTTTCATCAGGCCAGAGAAGACGATCCAGATAAATTCACCAGCAGGTAACTCTTGAGCTTCTCAGGTAGGGCTGAGGAAGGTACCTGAGAATCTAAGCCCCGCCCACTCTCTCTCTCTCTCTCCTCAGGTTCCATAACAAAGGTGTGTATGTGAAGGTGGGTCTGCAGAAGATCAGCTCCTCCAGGAGTCTTCACAAAGAACTGAGGCTGCAGGTCGACAATCAGGAGGTCCATCTACCCAACATCGAGGGTCTGATCTTCCTCAACATCCCCAGGTAACACACACACACATATGAACACATGAACACACACACACACATATGAACACACACACACACATATATATATATACACACTTCAGGTCAAAAGTTTGGAGGCGCGGCCGTTTCAGGCCGAACAGTTGGGAGTAACTTCTTTTTTAACGTCTTTTTTTTAACTCCAGTTTGATGTATTTTTGGATGTATTTACTCCATTTACCTTTAGATAAACATCCATGTTAACAGACCATTGCTAAATATATGTCAGCTAAAGATAATAAGGGCTTAGTTTTAGGGTCGAAAACATTTGCAAGAGTCACAACTTCAGTGGAAAAGCAAAAAAAAACAACAAATCACAGTTGGATTATTCACTTCAACTTTTTGTCTTCTGAGAGTCTGCAGACAAAAATCCTAATAAATCTAAACTGAGTTCAAACTACCGCAGAAATGACTAAAAAGAAGCAACTGAGTAAAGAGACAAAAGTTCAGATTTGTACATCGAGGAAAGAAGGAAACACAGAAAGAGAAAAACGCCTAAAGGTGTTTAACAAAGGAGTCGACTACACTCTGAAGAGACGAGAGGAACCTGGAAGTTCTGATGATAGACAAAGACCTGGACGAAAGAGAGTGACTACAAAAGCAGAGGATAAACAGAGCATTGTCACCAGGAAGAGAGAGAGAGAGAAAGACAGCACCACAAATAAGGGAGGAAATCAACATGACAAGGTCAAAACCCATATCTCTGAGAACCGTGAGGTTTGAGAAAGGCTGGTCTGAAGGGTTGAGTATCTGCAAAAAAACACGACTTCATCCACAGAAGAAGAAAAAGAGATATGAGTGGGTAAAAGCTCAGAAAAACTGGACTGATGATGATAGAAACAAGTTTGAACTGTTTGGTTCCAAACTCAGAGTCTATGTCTGCAGACAAACTGGTGAACGTCTGAAAGCTCCATGTGTTACACCCACAATTCAGCATGGAGGTGGTAGTTCATGGTATGGGGATGTTTATCAGGTGATGGAGGAGGAGATTTGTTTGAAGTAAATCATGAAGAAGGAACAGTACCACTCCATCCTCCAGCACCATGCTGCTCCATCTGGACTCAGACTTGTGGCTCATCAGTTTGTTTTGCAGTAAGACGATGACCCTAAGCTCTCTGCCGAGCTCTGTCAGGGTTACTGAGACAAAAGAGAAGAGGAAGGTGTTCTTCAAAAGATGGTTTGGACCCCTCAGTCTCCAGACCTTTCTCTGATAGAGCTTGTGCGAACACATGAACACATGAACACATGAACACGTGAACACATGAACACATGAACACGTGAACACATGAACACATGAACACGTGAACACATGAACACATGAACAC